TATGAAGACAGGCTGAGGGAGCTGGGCTTGTTCAGCATGGAGAAGAGAAGGCTGTGGGGTGAATCATTGCATCCTTCAGTACCTAAAGGGAGCCTACAAACAGGAGGGGAGTCAGCTCTTGGAAAAGGGAGATAACAGCAGGATGAGGGGAAATGGTTTGAAGTTGAGGGAGGGAAGATTGAGGTTGGATGTCAGGGGGAAGTTCTTTACAGAGAGAGTGGTGAGGTGCTGGAACAGCTGCCCAGAGAGGCTGTGGATGCCCCGTCCATCCCTGGAGGTGTTCAAGGCCAGGTTGGATGGGGCCCTGGGCAGCCTGGTGTAGCATTAAATGAGGAGGTTGGTGGCCCTGCATGTGGCGGGGGGTTGGAGATTCATGATCCTTGAGCTCCCTTCCAACCCTGGCCGTTCTGTGATGCTGTGAGCACCCGAAGAGGGCACTGTGTGCGTGGGGAACCCACAGCCCTGCTCTGCATCGCTGCTCTGTGTGCCTCCCCTCCTCCCCAGGGTGTTCTGAGCTGGGTTTGGGAGGGCTGGAAGGGATCCCCGAAGGCCACCTGGTTGCCCTCCCTGCTGCAGATGGGCACCCACCGCCCCATGGGGGCTCAGAGCCCCATCAACTTCCCCTGGGTGTCCTCAGTGCATGCACACTGCGTGCTTTGCAGCTCTGCCTGAGCCCCTGCAGCAGGGAGGGCCACCCTGAGCACCTCTGCTGCAGTGCAGGGCGAGGGGGGGGCAAAGCAGGGGGTGCAGCCTGGGGGGGTCCCTCCCCATCCCCGAGCTGCTCAGGGCTGGAGGCTGCCACAGATCCACGTCACCGCAGGGAAAAGGACTTCAAAGCAGATGCACTTTATTGGTTTTCTGTCTTTATTACAACAGAGCTGCAGCAGGAGGGGGGAAAGGAGGCAGGGAAAGGATGGAGGGTGTCACAAATGGGTGGTGAATGAAAGCAGCCGGGTGCCACACAGCAGGGAGGAGGAGGAGATGCTCGCTGCGTCCTGAGAGCTGCAGCCCCTCCTCTGGGTGTGCAGCCCACCCTGCAAACGGGGCTCTACACCAGAAGGGGGATCCCGGGGGGCTTCCCTGGGGAGGATGGAGTGGCAGCAGGAGGGCAATGGGCGCCGCGTGGGGTGAGAGCAGCCACTGCCACCTCAGGACTTCATCACACGGCTGATCCAGGGCAGGTAGGGTCTGATGTCTGTGTAGAAGGACATGCGCTGCCGGTAGGGGTAGGAGTAGATCCCGTAGGCTCTGTTGTTGCACACGAGGGGGCTCCCAGTATATCTCTGTGAGAAGGGTGGAATGGCAAAGGACAGATGTGGGGACGGAGCTTTCAAAGGGCAAAACCCAGTTTGGGAGCAGCACAGCCACTGCTGCATCACTGCTGCATCACAGCATCTCTCCGTGCCCCGCACAGCACCCAGCCCGGCTGCACTGCAGCCCCCCCCCCACGGGGGTCCCGGCGCACCAACCTCATCAGGAACCCCGTTGCTGCTGCTGGTGGCACACAGGACGTGATCGGCGAGGCCGGGGTAGATGGTGAAGCAGTCCCTCTGTTTGCTGATGGTGACGTTGGCCTCACAGAGGGCAGCATTGGAGGCTCCGCGCCCCCACCCGGCGACGCTGCACGTCGCCCCTCCGGGAAACCTCGTGTTTGAGAAGGAGATGGGCCTCACGCGGTCGTTCACGACGGCTTTGCTTTTCAGCTGGGTGGCAGAAAACACAGAAATGGGCGTTTTGCCTTTGGATGCAGTGTGACCGGGGCTGTCCTCCCCCTCCCAGCCCCCCAGCTCCACCACCGCAGCCCGTGGTACCTCCAGCAGGAGGATGTCGTGCCCCTCCTCGCGATTCGTGTACTGTGGGTGGCAGTGGTACTTCTGCACCTGCAGCTCCTGCCAGCTCTCCTCTTTCCTCTGGATGTCGCAGGCTCCGAGGATGACGGTCAGGGGTCTGAGGCTGTGAGGTGGAGCACAGAGGTGTCGTTAGCTGTGCAATTAGAGGAGGGACGGCTTGGGGATGTGGGTTGGGTTTGGTGGAAGCTGATAGAAGTGTGGATCGCTGCTGCTGAGCCTGCCCAGAGCGGGCTGCTGGGCTCAGTGTGGGTTATCTGCCTCCGGAGCTTCAGCTGAGCTCATTGGGTCCACCTGCAGCAGGGGCTGCCCTGGGGGAGCAGGGGTGCCATAGGGTTGGGGCAGCCCCTTTCCATCAAGCTGTGGGATGTGGGCACTTTGGTTCTGCTGGTTTTGCCCCCCAGACGTGGGGCACAGACACAGGACCGGAGCTCCAGCCCACCCCCAGCTCCTGCAGCTCACCCCACACCGCCCTACAACCTCACCCCATGGCCTCGTGCCGGCCCCACACCCCCTCTCCCTGCCCACTTAGCCGTGCTGAGCCCTCCCACCCCCACCTGGGAGTCATCACCTGTCCCAGAACTCACCTGTAGCACTGCGCGGCCGTCATCACCCAGCCAGGGGCCACCAGGAAGCCCCCGCAGAATCCACCATCCCTGCCCCGCAGATAAGCCATGTATGGCCTGGACTGAGCCAGAGCCCGGCCGCCCCGGTCCAACCGGCTCCAGGAGTGACCTGCAAGGATGAAGGGGTAGATGGGGATGTGGGGATGGATGGGGACGTGGGGATGGATGGGGACGTGGGGATGGGATGGGGATGTGGGGATGGGATGGGGATGTGGGGATGGATGGAGACG